ATTTAGCCGCGTGGTGCATGTTGCACCGTTTTTTGTCAGGGATGGTAGCCCTGCGCACGGCAGGGAATATGCTGACACTCCCGCCGTCCCTGTCAAAGCAATACAAAGTGCTCGCGGGCCTCACGAACGTGACTCAAGGCTCTGCCCCAAAGTGTATTTTGCATGGTCTTTTGACAGGGAGGGTGGAGGGGGGCGCATCGGGTTGGCCGCGCATGCTCCAAATGTGGAGGCATAGTGCATTTCGTATTGTTTTTTTGACAGGGATGCTCAGGGGCGGGTCGTCATGGTGTCGGCATGGTGCCTGGTTGGCCCCAGGTTGCCTGGGGGAGGGGGTGCATATTCATCAGGATTTTTTTTGTTTTTTGTTTTTTTTGTCTAGCAGATTTTTTTTATATATATATATACATATATATAAACTCACCCGAGCAGGGGAACGAGGGAGCTCTGGCAGAGAGGCGACGCAAGTCGTGTGAAAGCACCGACGCCCAGAGGGCCGGTGGGATGTGCCTCGGCCCTGGCTTCGTCTTAAGGGGAGGGTCGGAGGAGGGGCTCGGCGTGCACGCCACGTCGTGTGGTCGGCCGGGCGGCCAGGGAGTGCGGAGACGGAGTGCGGTGTGCAGGCGCTCCAGCATCAATCACCTCGAGCTCCTCGGCTGGCCTGTCGACTCGGCGTGTTTGTTCGAGCCCCTCCCCTTGGGGGGGGGGGAGACGGTTGTCCCCCGCGTGGGGTGGTCGAGGGCTTGCGGAGGCTTCCAGGGAGGGGGAGGAGGTCTGAGGCGGGGCTGGGGGGATGGGGGTCAGGGCGAGGAGTGGGGGAGGATGAGAGGGGGAGGAGGAAGCGGATGTCCCCAGGTTTTCGCAGTTTGCCCGCGCATGCCATCGCCAGCAATCTTCAGCCAGGCGTTTATAGTCCATACGCGATGCATATTCCACCGAGTCTCTTGTTGGCCGGGCGATAGAACAGGCTCAGTTCACGAGTCTCAGGCGCGGCAAGACAAGTGATGCAGAGTGCCACGAGCAATGCGACGCAATGAACAATCACCATCCCTAGAAACCCTACAAACATCGCTATTCGTGAAGTCAGAACACGAGTAGCAGTATTGGTAGTCGTAGCAGCGTGATCGTTTGTAGTAGCGATAGTGGTGATGGTAGTAGTAGTGATCGTGGTGGTGGTGAGGGTGACCGGGTATAGTTGCGTCTGCAGCAGATGCATCAGCATTCAGAAGCAGTGTTATACAGACTCGTAGCGCTAGCAGTAGTAGTGATAGCAGTAGTAGTACCAGTAGGGGTGAGAGTAGCAGAAGTGGTGGTCGTAGTAGTTGGCTCATTCGTAGTAATAGTAGTAGTCGTAGTCGTAGTAGTAGTCGTCGTGGTGGTAGTAGTAATAGTAGTAGCAGTCGTAATAGTAGTAGTAGTAGTAGTAGTAGTAGTAGTAGTAGTAGTAGTCGTCGTCGTCGTAGTAGTAGTAGTAGTAGTAGTAGTCGTAGTAATAGTAGTAGTAGTAGTAGTAGTAGTGGTAGTAGTAGTAGTAGTAGTAGTAGTAGTAGTAGTAGTAGTAGTAGTAGTAGTAGTAATAGTAGTAGTAGTAGTAGTAGTAGTAGTAGTAGTAGTAGTAGTGGTAGTAGTAGTAGTAGTAGTCGTCGTCGTAGTTGTTATAGTCGTACTAGTAGTAGTAGTAGTAGTAGCAGCAGTAGCAGTAGTAGTAGTAGTAGTAGCCGTAGTCGTAGTCGTAGTCGTAGTAGTAGTAGTAGTAGTAGTAGTAGTAGTCGTAGTAGTAGTCGTCGTAGTCGTAGTAGTCGTAGTGGTAGTCGCAGTCGTATTCGTAGTAGTCGTCGTCGTCGCCGTAGTCGTAGTCGTGGTCGTGGTCGTAGTCGTAGTAGTAGTAGTAGTAGTAGTAGTAGTAGTAGTAGTAGTAGTCGTAGTAGTGGTAGTAGCAGTAGTAGTGGTAGTACTAGTGGTAGTAGTAGTACTAGTGGTAGCAGTCGCAGTAGTAGTCGTAGTCGTCGTATTATTCGTAGTAGTACTCGTAGTAGTAGTAGTAGTAGTAGTAGTAGTAGTAGTAGTAGGACGGCGACTACTACTACTACTACTGCTACTACTACCACGACTGCTACCACAGATACCAGCAGTACTAATACTACTACGACTGCAAATACTACTACTAAAATTACCAATTAAATTTCTACGGCTACTACTACGACTACTACTTCTACTACGACTACTGCTACAACTACTACAGTAGTAGTAGTATTAGTAGTAGTAGTAGTAGTACTAGTAGTACTTTTAGTCGTATTATGTTTTACTATTACTAGTAGTATTCGTAGTAGTCGTCGTAGTAGTAGTAGTAGTAGTAGTAGTAGTCGTAGACTACTAGTAGTCGGAGTAGTAGTAGTAGTAGTCGAAGTAGTCGTAGTAGTCGCAGTAGTAGTAGTAGTAGTAGTAGTCGCCGTAGTAGTAGTGTAAGTAGTACTAGTCGTAGTAGTAGTAGTAGTAGTAGTAG